TGTAGAATATAATTTATATTAATAGCCCAGAGAACAGAATGAGCTAGCTTTGATGTAGTCAGCAGTTGATGTATATATATATATAAATAAATATGCTAAATAAAATTAAATAATAGCCCAGAGCCCAAAACAAGCTGGCTTTGATGTAGTTAGCAGTAACACACACACACACACACATATATATATATATATATATATATGTGTGTGTGTGTGTGTGTTACTGCTAACTACATCAAAGCCAGCTTGTTTTGGGCTCTGGGCTATTATTTAATTTTATTTAGCATATTTATTTATATATATATATACATCAACTGCTGACTACATCAAAGCTAGCTCATTCTGTTCTCTGGGCTATTAATATAAATTATATTTTACATCTAACCATATTCAGTTGTAGCAAAACTTGCATAGCTTGAGGTTTGACACTTTATATTTTTTCAGCACAACTTCATTGAGCACTGAACCATTCACGGAAGTTGTCAGGCAGAGAGGTGCTGCTGCGCTGTAGTAATCACAGTCACAACAAGCCCCTGCCCAGAGCCTCTGCTGAGAGAGCTTCAGAAAACCCTTCCTCATTAGCATGATAAAGAGTTAGTTTGAAATGGCTCTCTGAGGTTAATGCTGCTGGATTTACTGAGCTGGAGTGACAGGGATAAGCCAGTGAGATTTAGGGGATGTCCGTGCAAGAACTGGGGGCCATATTAGTACCCGCTGGATCACTGGATAAGCTTAGCGGCCAGCAAGGGTCTTTGTTAAACTGTTTGACCCATTTAGAAAATAAAGTTAACTAGCTGTCACTCTTTTCATGTTCTTTATGTAATCAAGCATTGTTGAAAGTTTGTTAATATGTCTAATAAACGTGAACATGTTTGTCTGGACGTCTAATGACTATAAGATATCAATTAAAGGATATTAAAAGGATATTTTCACTTTTATTTGAGTTTCCAGTAATTGACAGTGAACTGACTGTTCTGTCCTCTGTTTGCAGTACTTCACCTGCCTCCTCCTCATCCTCATTGCCCAGGTGACGGCCGCTGTCATCATCTACTTCCAGAGAGACCTGGTAGGTGTATGGTTCAGTGCTGTTTTAGTATTTATTAATATTTCAGAAATTTTTATTATTATTTTTAAAGATTTTTTTTGCCTTTTATAATGACAGTTAGTTGACAGGAAGCAAAGTGGGAGGGGAGGGTAAGGTCCATGAGCCAGGACTCGAACTCGGGACGCCCAAAGTGCAACAGCGCTGTTTGTTGGTGTGTTGCTGAGGCTAGTATATATATATATATGAAATATTAATAAATACTAATATTTTTTTTTTTATATTTTTTTTTTTTATATTACGCTTTTGAAGGAGTAGTTCACCCAAAAATGACAATTCTGTCATCATTTACTCACCCTCAAGTTGTTCCAAACCTGTATAAATGTATTTCTTTGGTTGAACATAAAAGAAGACATTTTGAATAATGTTTGTCACCAAACAGTTTCTGGTCCCCATCGATTTTCATAGACTTTTTTTTCCCGGACTCTATGCAAATCGGTGGAGACCAGCAACTGAAGAAAGAACACCGGTTTGGAACAACTTGAGGTATTGTAAATGATGACAATTTAAATTTTGGGGGGGTGAACTATCACTTTAAATGGCCTCAGTATAGCTACTGTTTGTTAGCTGGTAGTGTAGCTAATAAATGTAACAAAGCTTAAAAAGAAGAAGCTGTTTAAAATTAGCTTCCCCAACACTAGTCTGATCAGAAAACTTCTGTTCTGATTTAGTTTATCATGAACCACCACTTTTAATATGTAAATATTTAGTACATTTCTCCTAAATGACCCAGAAGTATGAAGTGTTTTGATGGTAACATGTTTTTTTCTTATGTTTGCATATCACGGCTTTGTTTAAAAAGGATGTTTCGTGCAACGCATTACAAGCTTGCAACACTTTTTCTAGTCAGCTGTTGTGACTGTTCTGTAATCTCTTAACCCTTTGGTTTTAACCCACCATGTTAGGTAGTAACAGGAAATGTGTCAGAGCAAGTTAACAGGTGGCGACGGTGTAGAAACTGGGATTTTAAATTAAGTAGCAGAAGGAAGATTTGCACATTCACTGCTGTTATTCCACTTCCTAATTCATTTAAATGGAGGAAGTGGAACTCATTCACTTTCTGTTGCACAACAGTCACCTTATGGCACAAGATGGTGTGTGTGGTATGTGAGATGTTTCCGTGAGTAACAAAACAGGTGTTGTCTTTGATGTGGGCGATTCTACAGCCCTCGTTTTATCTCTTGTTGACAACAGCGCCCTCTTTAAGAACAAAACAAAAATGCACAAACATTTCACACCAAAGATGATTAAAAAAACAACAGGACTTGCACTTCATCTCATCAGCCTTTCTGTAGTATTAGGAAGGATGTATACATCCTCTAATGCAGGAGTTTAACTCAATTGTGCATAGTCAGCCTATCTTAAACCAGTTTTAGTTAAGTATCCCCAGCCATAAGCACATGCTTAATGCTCAGCATAACTTGCTGTGTTTAGTCTGTTTCTGTGTTTGCATTATTGTATTATTATATAGATATTTTACTTTTAATATAGCATGTCTAGTCTTCCTGTAGAGCAGGTAATTGGAGTCTGTGCTAGGGCATGCTCTGTTTTCTCTGTATGCTTCACCACAGGGCATTCTGACTGCTTTTCCCAGAACAGGGCGAGGTTCACAACAGTCTGTACATAAGCTGTGTATTGCTGATTTAGTTTATCTCTGCCGGAGCCCCCTCAGTGCAGTGTACTTCACCAGCCCTCCTACACATGCATGAAGTTCAAACAAGATGTTCTCAAGATAATGTTCACTTGAACAATGATTTGCTGTTACAAGGTTTTTGAAATGTAAAGAATGGTTTTTAAATAGTTTGTGCTGGTTTTGTCAGTTAAATGACAATCAGAAGGAGTTTAAATACTTTTATGCATGGATACATTAAAATGATCAAAAGTGACAGTAAAAACATTTATTAAAAATGTATAATAAATGCTTTCCATCTCAACTTTCTATTTATCAAAACATCTTGAAAAATTATCCTGGTTTATTATTAAGAAGCAAAATTGTTTTCAACATTGATAATAATAGGCCATGTTTCTTGAGCAGCAAATCAGCATATTAGAATTATTTTTGTAAGATCATGTGACACTGAAGACTAGAGTAATGGCTGCTGAATATTCAACTTGGCATCACAGTGATAAATTACGTATTAAAATAAATATTTATTTAATATTTAAATATTAAAAACATTTAGATATGAAAATAGAAAACAATGATTTTAAATTGAAATGATATTTCACAGTATTACATTTTTTCTGTATTTTTGCTACACCCTTGGTGATTCCAAAATATTAAAAAGTCAGTTAACACTTTACAATAAAGTTTAATTTAACATTCGATAATGCCTTAGCTAACATGAACGAACAATGAGCAGCAATTATTAATCTTTGTTAACGTTAGTAAAAATGTTAATGTTTGTTCATGTTAGTTCACAGTGCATTAACTAATGTTAAGAAATAAACTCTGGATCTTAATAATGTACTAGTAAATGTTGAAACTAACATGAACTAAAATGAACAAATGCTGTAAATTAACCAATGCTGTAGAAGTATTTTTCATTGTTGACTAATATAATAAACTACTGAAACCTGAAACCTTATTGTAAAGTGTTACCAAAAAGTCTTACAGAACACAATCTTTTCAATGGTAGTGTTTTCAATACTTTTATGTATTTATTTATTTATTGCTCCTATGATTCTTAAAAACAAATATAGAGTCATAGCTAATAAAATATTTTTGCTTCAATTAACATAAATGCAACAAATTATGCAAAAATATTTGAATATATATAAATATATAAATGGTAGTGTATGAATATTTCATTTGTTTCAAGCATTAAAGAATGTTGATTGTTGTTGAAATATCAGATAACAGTGAGTGTTATAACAGGGAGTGTTTTTCAGTTAAGAAAGTGTAAATCACAGATACATCCTAACATGTCTCCATGTGCTTATTTTTAGCTGAAACATGAGATGTCCACTATTGTGAACACAGTTCTGGTGAACTACACCGGTCATAACAAGACATCTGAGCATGCCTGGGACTACCTCCAGAGAACGGTGAGCTTTTCCTTCAGCTATTGTCTGCCATTTCCTCCCTCACTGACTTTTTCCATCATTCCCGCAGTCTCTTACAGTGAACTTACAGTAATATCTGTTGCACATCTTAGAAATTACTTTTCTCATGGCTTTTTTCCCTTGTTTAACAAGCAGCTTTTTTCAGGTTATTTTCATTTAGGTTTTCTGCAACAATGTGTCTAGATTTTTATGTTGTTGTTGTTTATGCTGTAATATAAAAATCTTTCCTGCTTTTTTTTTTCCTCTCTCACAGATGAAGTGCTGTGGTTGGACTGGACCGTCTAACTGGACGGAGAATCTGGTGATGAAGAACAATTCTCAGATTCTATATCCATGTTCCTGCAGAAATAAATCCATCAGTGGCACAGATATAAAAGAAACAGGCCTGTGTCAAGCTTTGTCCCCTGATTGGCCTGTCTTCACTACGGTACACACATACAGCATATTCCTATATTAAAAGGTTAGTTCACCCAGAAATGAAAATTCTCTCATTAATTACTCACCCTCATGTCGTTTCAAACCCGTAAGACCTTCGTTCATCTTTGGAACACAAATTAAGATGTTTTTGATGGAATCTGAGAGTTGTCTGACCCTGCATAGACAGCAACGCAACGGACGTAAACAGCGTATGCTGTTCTGTGTCAGCTGCGTCACACGGATACGCTGTTTCCGTTCAGATCAAATCACAACAACGTAGCAAACAGATCCGGCGTGACGCAGCTGACACAGAACACAGCTGTTTATGCAGGATCAGACAAGCTCTCAGATTCCATCAAAAATATCTTAATTTGTGTTCCGAAGATGAACTAAGGTCTTACGGGATTGAAACGACATGAGGGTGAGTAATTAATGACAGAATTTTCATTTTTGGGTGAACTAACCCTTTAAGGGACAGTTCACCCAAATAAGAAAATTCTGTCATAATTTACTCACCCTCATGTCATTCAGAACCTGTATGGATGTTGCTATCCAAATAATTTTGGTGACCATTGATTTCCGTTCCATGGACAAAAAAAATAGACATTTCTCAAATTATATTTTATGTTCCATAGAAAAAAAAAATGTTGGCGAACAAACCCTTTCCTAATTCCAAGTAGCGTTCACCATTCACACTAATGCTTCTCATTGCTAATTCTGTCTCTAACCTGGCGTTTGTGTTACATCTCTCCAGCTGTGCCGCATTCTCTCTCTCCTTCCATTTGCTTTTAGTGCAACATATGGATTTCCTTTGTGGACTGGATATCAGCTTTTCTCAGCCTGCTAACCATTCACTCCATGCCAATATTTCAGAGTCCCCATTCAAGCATTTGGCACTTTCATTAATAATGAATTGATTCATGAGTATGGCACAGGTGGTGCTTTTGCTCATTAGGTCTCAAATGCCAGGCAAAACTCTAAACATGCCATTTTTCATACCTTTATATTTGCATATTTGCCTATAAACTGGACCATAGACCAGGCCACTTACATTTAAAGGGCGATGCTGAATACTTTCCCATAATGCCATCACTTACATTTACATTTTACATTTAGTCATTTAGCAGACACTTTTATCCAAAGCGACTTACAAATGAGGTTAAAATTAACACTTTAATTCATTTGAAAACTGTATCATATCTGTAGGATATACCCAGTCCCATTGTTTGAATAAGCGAACAAAGAATTTACTGTAAATCAAAATGTTTCTTGTAAACTGGACCACTGACTGTTCTAGACTTTCACTTTCTTTCCCCTAGTTAGAGTTTGGCTTGTTCTGTTTGTCTCTTCTGATGTTATCTTTGGACAGCTCTGTCTGTTCAGGATCATTTCCAATCCCTGCATATCTTTTTTTTTTTCACTTTTTTTTTTCTCCCCATTTCTCTCCATTCTCTGTGTCCAGGGTTGTATATCTAGTGTGGAGGACTGGCTCCTAAGGAACTGTGGAGTTATTCTGGGAGTCTGTGTTGGAATAGCAGTGATCGAGGTAAATCTAAAAGCGTGCCATGTAAAATGCATTTAAGTTGAGAAAACGTACAAATTTAAGGCAACCAGCTTCAGCAGATTTTTGAGTTTTCTCAACATTGTTGTTTTCAGTTTATACAACAAAAAGTTGAGAAAACCCAAAAATCTCCTACAAAAACGAGTTGAGAAAACTCAAAAAATCTGCTAAAGCTGGTCGCCTTAAACTTAAGTTCTAAGGGGGGTGGGGGATTACCAATCTGTTTTACTTATATTCAGCTATATTAATTTTGAGTAAAATTTAATTTAAATAATAAAAAAAGCTTTTTTTTTTTTAATCCACATTTGTTTTGGAAATATACACTACCATTTAAAAATGTGGGCTTGATTTATGTCTTTGAAATAAGTCTCTTATGCTCACCAAAGCCTTTATATGATCATAATTACAATAAACACAGTAATATTGTGAAATATTATTACAGTTTGGAATAACTGTTTTCTATTTTAATATATTTTAACATGTTTTTTTATTCCTGTGATGGCAAAGCTGAATTTTACTGCAGTCTTCAGTGTCACATGATCCTTCAGAAAGCATTTTAATATGATGATTCAGTGTTCAAGAAACATTTCTTCTTATTCTCAATATTGAAAACAGTTGCACTGCTTAATATTTTTGTGGAAACCATGATATATTTTTTCAGGATTCTTTGATGGATAGAAAGTTCAAACGAGCAGCATTTATTTGAAATATAAATCTTTTGTAACATTATAAATTTCTTCAGTCACTTTTGATTCAGTCCTTACTGAAAAAAATATTATTTAAAAAAAATAACTGACCGCAAATGAATATACTTGTGTGTTTCTAGATGCATGCCCTATGGCTTTTGCATTAGTGAAAATTCTAAACCAAATATTGTGGCATAATATTTTGTATTTATATTCAATTAAAAGGGAAAAAAGTTATTTAATTAACTAATTTAAATGCTCAAACAAATATTTGTATTGAATTTCCTGGAAATGTAGCTTTATCAATAACCAACATTTGACTAAAAATACAGGTTTGTTTGTAGTAAGTGTTATCAGCTTTATATAAAACAATAAAAGACTATACTGAGTCTGCCCTGATTTAGCTTGGTAGCTGGTAAACGTGCATTTCTCTGCGTGTGTGTGTGTGTGTGTTTTGTGTGCATGAGAGAGAAGTGGGGAACCAGATTATGATCACCGTCTTCTCTGCTTGCTTCAGCTTTTAGGGATGATCCTGTCCATGTGCCTCTGCAAAAGTGTCCAACAGGAGGATTACACCAAAGTACCCAAATACTGAGAGCAAACCCCCCTTCAGTGACTCAGTCACACATCAGAAAACACCAGTGTTACCGCCTCTCCACACCAGCAACAACAACTGGAACAAAGCAGACCAGACGACATCCGATCACACACACACACACACACACACACACACACACAAACACACAAACAACGTTCTTCACTTTATTATCCCCTTGTTTAAGATCAACGTTTTCCGTTGAGAATTCTTTTATCTTTTTCTTGTTAGTGCTCTGCAGGGTCTGAATAGCTTTATGGTTGGTTTCTCACATACATATACTGTACGCTGACTGTTTGTTATGGTTTTCATTGTTAGTCGAATCTGAGAGCACTTTAGTGAATAGAGAGTTCGAAATGGCAAAGAGCTATTAGCTACTTTTAAAATATTTTTATAATCTAGAGGGGAAAATCGACACTTTTTTTTTACCTATTATAATTTTTTATTTGTATGAGAATTGTGTACTTTCAATTCAGTTATGTGTATATAAATAAGATTGACACTTCAATGAGGTTTATTCTTACTGAATAACTACATCCTAGTTATGGCAGCACTTGATGGCTTTTCTGCATGTAAGTGAAGTGTTATTAGCCGGGGCTGGGTCACTCAGGGCGGAGGCAGGTGCGGTGTGGGGAAAGATGGCTGCGGTTGAGGAATGCTGGGGCAAATAACAAGTCTGAAGGCTAGAATTGCGTATTATAGTGTTTCTTGTGGTTTACATGCGAGTCGGCCTGCATCGCTCTGTGGATCAGGGTGTGTATGTGGATTTAGGTTGGGCACGTATCCCACAGATCCTTGCTGTAAAACAGCTGTTGAAGTATGTCTATAACAGGCATTAGATACAGATCCTGCTGACTAGCTTCAGCTGTAGCCTGTAGCACCACAGCAAAATCCACAGACGTAACATCTGTCTTCCTGTTACTGACCCATTTCAGCTCAACCAAAACAGGTGTGCGTGAAGTTGTGCGAGACTTTTTAATCTTTGCGTTTCTTCTTTTTAATATTTTTGTGTCTATGGTTTTATTTCGAGGGAAGCTGATCTAAACAATGTCAGCTTTTTGAGTTTAGTAAGCCTGGTGTTGTTTATATCAGTAGTTGTTCTCTGGGCCGTGTTAGTGTTAGTTCAGAAAAGAAGCAATCGAAGCTTCTTCTTGAGAAGATAAAAGAATGACCAAGAATGATATCTGTAAGGCCATTTCCAAACACTTTGTTGCTTTTCGACAAGAAATCTTTCTAGCTCTGTCCTTTAAAACAAACTGCCATTTGTGTTGTAATGTGATAGGCCTAGAAGAGACAGAGAAATTAGTCATTTCTCTTTATGATTTTTCACATTTCAAGATTATGAATACTTTTGAAGTCTTTTTTTTTATTTATTTTGTCAAGAAGCTGTCTCCTGGAACTCTAGTTTAGATACTGAAAGCATTTCTTTTTTTTTTCCAGAAATTGACCAATATTTGGATAACTGTGTATTTCTGAGGTAAAGTGAAGATGAAGGGCTTTTTACTACATTCTAAGATGATCTGTTTAACTGGGAAGTCATGTTTATGTAGTAAGTTTTTCCAGCGACATGTCTATGCAGTAGTTATAAGTTGGATTAAAAGAAAACTTGGACAGAGTATGTGCGATTTCCATTGTGGATTTTTTCAGGATTATTTTTGGTATCAATGTAAAAGTCTTTTTACAGTACAGTACAGTCACTTTTGATCGATTTAATGCATCATTGATAAATAATAAGTATTATCTTCTTACAGTATTAAAGTCCTGCTGACTCCAAACGTTTATATGCCATAGGACGTTTATACAACAACTTCATTAGCCTAATTCTTGCTGTTGAGACTGCATTGGAAGTTGTAACCAGAGGAGAGCGCTATTGGTTAACATGAGATCTCGTAAATCTAACAGGCTTCTAACAGCTGAAACTCAGGTTAGAGAATAACATTTAGAAAGCACTAGTACAGTACATGTTAATATTCAACTTGTATCATAAAGTTCATGCTGTTTCATGTCGAAAAGGACAGCATGAAGTTTTATATTTCATCATTCTTTTATCTCAAAAGATATTTTAATAATTACAGACAATATACGGAATCTTTAATTCCTCTTATGTATTTATAATTAAAGGGTTATGCATTATGAATGTTATTTGTGGCTAATGATATATTCTCATATCCCCACAAGAGGTCTATCGTTATTCTCATTGAGGTCCAGTTGTTTGATCTAATAGCAGGAAAAGAATGGTCTGAAAGACGATGAAAATCTTGAAAATGCCTCGAATGAACCTCTGCGGTCGCATAGGGAGAAATGAAGAAACCGCTTTGCTGTCTGTCATGGAGACAACAAGTGAATTCGGAACCACTGCCAGGAAATCTGGCTCTGTAGTTACATTGACAGTATCTGAACACGAGCTGGTGGTTTGCTTTTGCATATGATCTAAATCCATGACCCAAATTCAGTTATTCAGTTCCATACCCAATAAATAATTTTTTTCTTCCTCAGCTATGTGCAAATCTGCATTGCTTTTCAAATGAGTGTGATTTGTACTCACAGGTTGTTTAATATAGGGCCTACATTCTAGAGCAATTGTTGAATATGTTTTAATCTAATATGGTGTCATTTTCAGCTATTAGTTATGGAACCCCCATATGTGTGATGAATAGAGGTTGGAAAGTAACTGCTTTGACTCATCAGCAGCAGAATGTGGAAGTTGGCTCATAAAGTGTATGCTGCATCCTCTTCTTGTGCTTTCCTGGAAATGGTTTTACTCATCCACAGCACAGTCACCTCCACCTGAGGGCCTCTTCCTCATCCTGCTGGAACGCCCCTGCTGGACTTCCTGTTTTCCCGTTGTTGGCTCCCTGGCATACTTGATTCATATTGTATGTAGAGCTCTAGTCAATGACACAGTGATATCAGGCCAAAGCTGAGCCTTGACTGTAAGTGAACTTTAACGCTTGCAAGACAATGACATCTTGGGATCATATGGGCACTTTGTAACAAACACAGAGTTAATCATTTCCTTTTTGGAACATATTTGGCACATGTTTGGGCAAAATTCACAATTTAAGAATTGACTACCTTCCATTTAGACTTCTATAGTCATGAAACATGAGCGAATTTGGCTTACTATAAGCTAAACTTGTAACGGTATCACAATATACACAATATTCTCAAACTTTACATCAGCAAAAATATTGATAGAGATTGTTATCACTAATATTTGATGTAGCCTATCACCCAGCCTATTAAACCATGTTTGGGTTTGGCAAGATTTTGTATTTATTTATTTTTAAAATAATTATTCTGTTCAACAAGCACAGCACAACTGTTTTCAACATTGATAATAATGGGAAGTATTACATTAAATCAGCATATTACTATTATTTCTGAAGGATCATGTTACACTGAAGACTGGAGAAATGGCAAACGAATCGATTTCAATTTCGCAATGCTCCATGGGATTATAGGTCTTGCCATCGAGCCATTAAGTAGCCTACACAGTCCGTGTTTTTTTTTGTTTTTTTTTTACAGTCGAGTTAAAATGCTTCTGTTCAGTTATGTAACCACGTTCAAGATCAGTTAGTTTCTGAAACTAAATAAAATCCATAAATCTGTACCTGAGTGTCTCAGTGTACTTTTTTAAATGAACCCATGCAACTAAATCACCAATAACAACATTATGAATAATTCTACCAAATCTTTTCCAAATATATTCACAGTAAGGACAGCATACTGTAAATAGGGATACACGAGGCTTAAACTCACGAAAAACATATTAATGTTGTCTCTTTATCATTAACCAGAATAAAGTGTAACTCTAAAGCGTAGTCACCCTTACGAAAAATAAGTTTATTCAAGTGTGCTATTAGTATACTTCTTTTAAACTAAAAATAGGAAAGTATACTTTTAGTCTACTTTTTATGTACTTCTCAGAAATATACTTAAAATGACATTTAAGTATACTTGACTTATACTTTAGCTATAGATACTTACTAAAATAAACTTGAAGTATACTACTTTTTGGTAAGGGCAGCGTTAAGCAATGCACAATCAATGCACGTTTTGCATGAATATTTACCAGAAATTGGTACAAATATAGTGAAACTGCTGTCTCCTGCTTGAAACCGTCCAAACTGATTACTGATTAGGTGTGTTGTGTTCGACTGCGCAGACGATCGGTGTATGACATCAAGATACCGCGAGAGCGATTACAAAGCAGACCGCTCCCAATCGCTCTCGCGATTCTTTGATGTCATACACCGATCAATCCGCGCAGCGAACACACCAATAGAGAATGGGAATGTGTCGTCACAGCGGCAATGCATTCTGGGAGTTTAGGTCACGGGAGCTACAGCGGAGACTGGATAATAGTGAATGTAGACGTTTGATATTATTTAATGTTTATATTATTTTACTTAAGATCGCCTTGGAGTGGTTAAGGCTCACTTTACATCATTTGCCATAGCCCTTTGCACGGCCGGTGTGAAAAACGTGCTTTTTTCAGCGTTAGAAAGTTGTAAAAGCAGAGGTATTTCCTGCAGACATTGATAAGGGCTATGGCATAGCCCTTATCAATGTCTGCATTAAATACCTCTGCTTTTGATTAACTATGTTGATACAGTAAGCGACTAAGCATTAATCATTCCAACGCGATCTTAAGTTGAATCATACAAACATAAAATAATATAAAATGTCTAACTTACATTCACTACGGAACTCGGATAAAAGTTAAACTGAAACTCGGTATGGTAAACAACTCAAATAAGATGTGTCTTAATAATTGATCTCTGTAGATTTATATATACAGTGGTTTGCATTAAACATAAGCCCTCACACCACAAATAAAAGAAAATCATATATGAATACGTTTTCTTGCGGCAGCTTGTTGATACCCAGCCACTTGTTTGCACGGATTAGTTTCATTCATTCATTCACGGTCTGCTTTTTCTGTGGTGATTTGCGTGTGTTTACACTGTGTGCTCCTGAGCGTGGCGTGAAGTAGATTCCCATTCTCTATTGTTTATGAAAAAGGTGAGCTGATGAAGTTTATTCACTTTATATGCATTATTGGCTGCTTTAATAATATAATTGCGTTTACGTTACGTCATTGCGTGATTATGTTAAAAAACTAGGAACCAGTTTGCGGAAAAAAATCACGTGGATTTCACGTTGTCTGAGGGATTACAGGTAGTAAAGTAAATAATGTTTATTTTCTTTACAGACCTATCGTTTCACTTCATAAGACCTCAATGGGTAGGCTATTAATTTTGTTCTAAAAAACGGGCAGCCGTCGCCTTGCATTTTCAAGGACCACGGTTTCAGCTAAAAAAAAATGTTCTACTGAATATTGAATAATATTACCGGCAACAACTTACATCTGCAAAGACAATGAAATAAATACAAACACATGTGAAGTGCTGGTAAGAATATGCAGTGAATTATCGTTGTGAATAGGCTACGCCATAGCAACATTCTCTACGTAATTCGACCAGTATAAAACAGTTTAAAACTCTTTTTATTGATTGGTGTTGAAAACAATCAAGCAATTGGATGTTATTAAATATTTTAATTGACTGATTATAAATGGAAACTAAACTTTACAGATTTTATAATCCTCAATTTCACAGCAAAATTAAACAACTTGTTGGTGACAACAAGTGCTGGTGAACTAGGCTAGGGCAAACAGTTGACAGCTATGATATACTATATGCCTATCAAACTTTACCCGTATACATGTACTCTCACATAAATCAAAAGGTGATATACTAATAGCAAAATACTGGTTGTTCATCTATATTGTCACCAAGTGTAAATAATCCTATCCCTAAACTGCTAAATGTCGATTATATTGCATTAAGGTACTATCACCATTAAAAATATGAATTTCTGTTCAACAATGTATATCGTGATAGGTACTCCACAAATAAAACTGAATTGACTTCAGATAGACAGCAGTAGTTTTAATGATTAACACTCACGTTCTGATTATTGAAGCACAAATATGCACATAACAGAGCTTGTTTTATTACACTCCTGTTTATTAAGTTCAGATTATTGTGATATTTTTCACCTGTTATAATAGTTGTTTTGTTCTATTAAATTAATTTCTAATGACTAGTATTTATTTATGTGATCTTTTGCATATGTTTAGAACCGATTTCATAAGCGATAATAATATAATATAATATAATATAATATAACGCCAGGAACATCAGGCCAATCTTTCTTTTTTTTTTTTACAATTTTATTTTCAAAGATTATCATACAGGTTAAGACAACAGTTCAATTTTTCATTATACATCAGGCCAATCTGCTGCTGTCCAGAATCAGGTGGTTTGTCTTCATCTGGCATCTCAGCTGAGATTGTCCACTATGGGTGATCCTATCAGTAGCTGTGAAGTACCAGCTCTCAGCATCACTGATGCACACAAGCCCTCACAGCTCAAGCTGCAAACCGTGTGAGGGACCCTAACCTACCCTAACCCAGCTGTTTAAAACCAACCGCATATCAACCAACCACTCTAAACATCCTAACAACCATGAAGCAATGCATGATAGACCACTCAGAAAAGTCCAACAACTGCTCAGAAACACGCTAACAATTGTTTAGAAAACCTTAAC